CCCCCCCACCCTACCCGTTCTTCCACATACCTCTTTTCACTATGCGCCTTTGAATGTCATAACCGACGCGTTAGTATGACCACTACTAACTTGCCAGCCAGCACTACAAATACGTGCCTTCTGAGGGCATATACGTCTTCCCTTTTCAGTATCGATATAATAACTGTTAGAGGTGGATTAAACTAGGGCTTCATTTTATTGGCTAATTGGATTTCGAACGCTCATGAGCCCAGTATCTGGCTTGTGTAAGAGTCCATTGGAGTAGAGTGATGGGCGAGGTTCAAAAATTTTTGAAGAAATTGAAAGATATCATTTTCTTTTCATCTTTTTTTCATCATTGCAGTTTTTTGGTATGAAAATTTGAATTTTTGATTAAATCTCCCATTTCCTCTTTACACGTATGCATTATTCAATAAGAAATATTTCGAACAGTTAATGGGCTTAAGGGATGACAGGAGGTTGGGTAGAAAACAATGTTCTTGCCGTATCTGTTTATCGAGCTGGTCATTACAGAAAGAAGTTGCTCAAAGCTCAAATAATGGCCAATAAAATTATGACCGAAGTTGTGTATTTCCATATTTTAAGTTAGTTGAAATCTATATATATATATGCAAAATCCCCTTATGAGAATATTTCACTATATCAACTTTAGTGTTCCGGTGCTCAAATATAAAAGCTTGGTACTTAACTTCCTCAACGCGTCCATGCTTATTATGTTCAGAACTCGTTGATCGAGGGGTAGAACTGATTTATGGTTCATCCCGGCTCAAGTAGATTGTCTTTCCTTTGAGCTTGGAACGGCTAGTAGATATTATCGAGCATGCCTTAGCACAGTAAACCGTATGAAAATTTATTATAGGCAAGTGAATTTTTTTCGAGCTTCATTTTTGTTGCTTTTTTCTTCCAAAATTTGAATTGGCCAACAGGCATCAAAATGTCATTGAAAATTGCTTGATTAAATAAATCAGGCTCTCAGTTAGCAATTTGCAGTTGCAATAATTAACCTAATTTTATTTGCACTTTTAAAACTTTCACCCCCCCCCCCAATTGTTGAATCGCTTTGGCAATTTGTAGAGGCCGGATGGGTGGGAGTTTTACAACTTCTTAGAGGACAGTATTTCTGAGGGGTTTTTGTAAATAATAGCATGCTTTTCCTCAACTTCTTAACATCATATATGCGTATATATATATTTATTTATTTATAATATCGAAGTTTGTCCACGCCCTGAGAAAAAAGTTTTTTGCGGATGTACAATTTTACTGTAGTTAACTTTTTTATGATGACATGCTATCAATCTAATTAAGAGTGTCTAATTCCACCCTAATTTTGTTGAACTTATGATGTGATTAGTGTTAGGGTTCTTAGAAGTTGAAAAAGAAAGACATTTTATTTGTCAAGTAAGAGGAAATAAATGTGTCTTTTGAAGGATGTGTTAAATAGAGCTAAAATCTTTCGACCTTCAACTTGCATTTTAGATTACATGCCAACTTTTCATTCACTTCAAATTGAATGACTTTACTGCTTGCAGTATTCACAGTTTTTACTGTTTAACAAATGACTACGTACAGTTGGTATTGATTTTGCTAAAAAATTTTAGGTGCTTACCAATACTGACGGGATTTATTTTAAAAATTGTCAATTATTTAACCGTTAGGAAACCGTTAGAAATACTTGTAAGCTTTGTTTTAACTGGGTATGACATTAAAAAATAAGACAATTTGCCACCTAAGTGGAGATGGCTGCATTGTTTCAATTTTTTTATGGATTTAAAATTAGTGAAACAGTTTATTGGCTATGAAACGATCTGCAAACTAATAGCACAGTGAGGAATTAGTTAGGGACAATTTCAAATACTGAATCTTATCTTTTTGTTTTAATGGGAAGAAATTTCCACTTTGAGGTCACGTTTGGAAACATCTTATATTTATGTCTTGAGCAAATTTTAATGCAATTGCAACATTGGCCAATTTAAAACGTGAAATTTCTTGTACTTTAATTTGAATTGTTTATAATATTTACTTTGGAGGTAAAATGAAGTTGGGAATTGGTTTGAGCAATCATTTCAAATCGCAATTAACCCGAACAATCTGTTTAAGTGTTTGATGCCTGATTGGTTCTGATGTTAACTTGTCTGATATGGCTCCTCGTAGTGGAAATACAGTAGTTGACGTTAACATGAAGCCTGGCTAATGTTGGAACTCTCCTGCATACATGATCAACCATCCACGGTATCAGTAATCCATGTTAGTTTCATTCTTACAAAGTTTTTGACTGTTTCGCTTACCCCAATTGGTACATTGACCCGACATTTGCACAGAAACTTCGCCGATCGATACGAGTATTTACCTTCATCTGGCAGAAAATTTTTCTGGCGCTTTCAAATTTAATTTGCCCGAAAAATTTTCCTGTGTGATGGAGCTCGTAGAAGTTGAAAGAATGTTAGATACGAGAATTCAAGCAGTCCAACCTCTTCTATAAAACTTTTTTCCATTTCAATCACACTAATGATTTAAGTTTATGTTATTATTTTAATTTGAATAAATAGGATCTTATTATTACAAGATTCAATACCGATTCACCTACTATTCAATGTCATTCTTTGGTCCATTACCTATCGTGCATGCATTCTCTTTATTTAATAGTCTTTAAAATACAGAAAAGGAAATCATTAGAATTTTGTTATGATTTCTTCAAGTCCTTTTTATTTCTGTTACTTTCCTTTTTTCAAATTAGATTGATATTTCGTGAAGACATAAGTGAAATAAAGATTAAGATAGAGAGAGCTTTTTACGAATCTTTCAATTTAAAATTAAATTAAAAGTGTCTGTTGGACTTTCTGCTTTTAGTGATTAATTTATTTCTTTTCAACTACCTCCACGTGAGTAATTATCTATCGTTAAGCTTTTGTAAGCAGTTTTCCTATTCGCTAAATCTCGGATTAAGTCTACTTGAGCAACATAATTTACATAAGCATAGTTGAGCGTCTTTCCTTCCGTCTACAGACTTCCTGATTCGTTGGAAAAAATTAAAACACTTGAAATGTCATTTTTATGCCGACGTATCTTGGATATTTATGGTCGAGGTCTATGCACGAGCGCATGCTTATTATTTTTGAGTTCCGCACATATTGGGCGTAGTAGTATTCAAATTTCCCTAAGCTAACTTTCAAAAAATTGACTTCTGGATTTCTGGATGAATTTATACTTATAATATAAAAATACTGTGAACGAATTGAGTCGATTGTATGTTTACCATTACCACTAGTGCATTTCCATCTTCTCATAGCTTTGAGCAGATCAATAGCGGTATTTTGATCTCATACCAAAACTGACTAGATTTCACCCAGCGTTAATTGCATTAATTATGAATTTGGTTAAAAAATATTTTAAAAGTATAATTTCTTTGTCCCTAGCGGCTGTAGAAACTTTTTGGACTCAGGTTCCAATTTTTCAAACTAAGATATTATAAATTGTTATTTGTGCTTATTGGCAATACATATTTTCGAGATAATTTTTGTGGCATATTGACGAACGCCCTTTCTCCAATGAGTCCCAACATCTTACCTAACTAGAATTCGTTTAAAATGCCCACATTTGTCCTCCAAGCGTCGCCTAGCTATGACCTTGAAAAGTACGGGATGTGGAGTTGACGTCGCTTTATCGTTGACCTCACACCAATGTACCTCTTTATTAGAACACCCATAATCTCCTTCGCCTCTAGAAAAACCTAGTTCATCATACCGAATTCCCTTTTTTTGCAAAAATAAATTTATATTTTAATTAATTCTGATGGTATTGTACTTTTTGGCTTCTCTTATGCTGATGGCAAGAGATGCCTAAATGTGCAGTCTTATTAAGCCATCGATGCGTTCAACGGCCAATAGTACGCATTTTCTACTCAATCAGAGAAGCATGTAATCTTATTTTTTTTTATTTCAAGGCTACTTTGAGAGTATTTGAACTATCGAGTATTTCGCAAAGCACTTTTAATTCCTTTCCCTAAGAATGGAACTCTACACCTTAAAATACCAGATTGCAAATAGTGACCTGGTCGAATCCTTGATTATTTTTTAAATTAATTATGTCCCCTTATCCTCCCTAGCGACTTGAAGTTGGATAATGTTCTCCTGGACTCCGACGGTCACGTTAAAATAGCTGATTTTGGAATGTGCAAAGACGGTATTATTGGAGAGGAACTGACTACCACTTTTTGTGGTACCCCTGACTATATCGCTCCTGAGGTAAGAAATTTAATAATAGAATTTCATTTCACGTTGCAATTAACTATTTTTCTATTTCAAATGAATATTGGACCGAAATCTTCCATATCACTATCAAGCAGCTTTTCTTTTTAAATGATGCTTATTAAATTTTATGTGTTACATTTGACAAATCGATTTCTATTAATTGAAATTAAATTTTATGTGTAAAATTATTAAATCAAAGGTCTTAATTTGAAAACTGATTTCGACTCCATTCTTTGCCTAATAAATTTTGTGTCTCAAAATTAAAATAATCAGCAAATTTTAAATTACCATTTTGATTTTAGGATCAATTTAGAATAAGTTTATGCATTCAGATTACAATCAGTATAAAATTAAATATGCACTAAAACAAGCAATGACTTTTACCCGTTTAGAAATTTAAATAAATTGCCAGTTTTACTGCATTTTACGTTAACTTTTCTTTGTGAAAAAAATCGGTTTCTACTTTTCTATTTGAAAAAAACCGTCACACATACTCAAAAGTCTCTGTCAAGCTTTAGTTTTCCAATTTTTAGAAAAATGTCCTCTTTCTAAAGTAAGTAAACTGCTCCGTTATAGCAATTAAAGGGTTTTTTAAGACAATTTTTCTTTTAAAAGTTCTCGTTAACAATTCTAGACGGACTGCGTTAATTCAACTTTGGTGAGGAAAAATGTCAAAATTAGCAAACAATATTATGATGTGATTTTAGTTTGTGGTGCACTAACAAGAAATTTAACAAAAAAATTGTTCAATTTTCAATTACTTTGTGAAAATTAAACCCGTTATTTGTTTTCTAGCAATAAAATTTTAATCCAAGAAGCGATTTATTGGTATGGCTTAATTTTATGTGAAAAGATAAATCCTTATCTAATGCTGACTTGTTCGGAAATTAACACATGCTTGGGAGCCTTACCTTAATATGTATTTATGTTATAATTGTAGATAATCAGTTACAAACCTTACGGCAAAGCTGTGGATTGGTGGGCGTTCGGGGTGCTTCTCTATGAGTTTCTTGCCGGTCAGGTAAGTTAACTTTTTTGTCCCATTGTCAGTGAATTAGATTATAACCGCTGTGATTTACTTTGTGAAGACCTAGTAGATTTTTTAACCCACGTGAAATGAGATTGAAGTCAGAGTTGTCATGGGGCGAGACGTTGAGAGGCTGTTCAGGCCGATTGTGCGGAGGAATGGCAAGATATTCAATAATGATGCATCTGAACCGGTTGGGAAGAGAAGTTCGACGTATTGGGACTTCCTTCAACCGAGGTCAATATCACCCACTATAGTCTACTTCGATGTACACACAGTTTGGATTGACGTCAATCTATGACATTTTTTTAAATTGGCAAATAAAATTTTATGATTATCTAGATATGGTGTTTAAGTGATTTAGGAGTATAGCCTCGAGAGGACATGATTACACCAACTGCGGTTTCATTGAGGTTGGTTTTATAACCCTGAACATCTATTGTATAGTGGAATCATTATTATTCAGTAATCAATTCTAGACTCCGGCATGAGGCTACTGACACAATTTGTACCTTTTTATTAACTCAAATTTTGTGAAGTTATTAAATTAGTTGTCAACATTTATCAACACACCACTTTTATTGTAACAAATGTGAGCTTTATGCTTTATTAACAATTTCATTGTGACATCTCTATTCAAATATTCGTGTTTTATACCCTTTCAACCTCTCTTTCGTATTTTTCAAGCCGATCGGTGTAGACAGAATAGTTTGGGATATAAGACTTAATTTTATTCAAAGTATCGATTAATTTTCTGAAGTTTCACATCATTTTAATCGACTTTTATCTGTCATAGAAGTTTCTCTATTTTCGTTTTTTTGAAAATATAATATGCTGGTCTTATTTCAAACAAATATGTAGTTTTTTATTACATTACTAGAATTAATTTGATTCGTACAGTAACTATTGCTAATGACTTTTAAATTTCACAATATTGACAATTTAAAGGGCCTTTTTATGCCATATTTAAATCTATAATTTTTCCCATAGATGTTATATGACACCATTTAACTGTGATCTTGATGCGGCCTAATTTAATTTTGAAAATTTATAACTTTGAGCTTAAATTTTGCTTTATCAAGCCCCCATTCGACGGAGATGATGAGGAGGAACTGTTCCGAAATATTGCAACTGGTGAAGTCTCTTATCCCCGGTCGCTTTCTCGTGAAGCTTGTCTCATATGCAAAGCTGTAAGTGTCGTTTATTTTCATTTAACTTATACCGCTTTTGTTATCTTGCAGATAACTTAATTCACCATTAAAAGCGGTTAAATGTATAATTTTGTGTGTACTTGTAATAGTTCCTAACCAGAGACCCGATTCAACGGTTAGGAAGTGGTCCAAATGGCGAACAGAATATCTGCGAGCATCCCTTCTTCCGACATATAGATTGGCGGAAAATAGAAAATCGGGAAATACAACCACCATTCAAACCCAAAGTTGTGAGTTATCTTTGATTCAGACGTACCTTATACGCACACATTTAAATTAACCATTAGAAATAAATGAAGTCATTTAGATATGTATAAATAATCGATCGAAATTGGGGGGGGGGGGGGGAAGGAATTAGATTAATTTACTATTTTTATTATATATTGCTAATGAACTTACGTAAATCATGAAATTTAATGAATTATGGCACAAGTTATTTATTTATTAATAAAACGAGCTACTTCGTGTCAAGGTGGGAATGTTGTTTTTATGTGAGATAAAATGCCTTGAGAAAATACCACTTGTTTATTTTTGCTGTTTTTTTTCAATGACCCACTATCAGTTAAGAGTGTTTAAGTGCCCAATTCTTCCCACTCCCTCCCACTCTTGGCTGAGATAATGCTTTCCTTGTTCTCGTGACAAAAATAGCTTATCAATAAATTAACGATTCATGGTAGTCATTTATTTGCCTTTTTAATTTGTTTCGCTTTACCTTATTAATGGATCATATGAAAAATTTACGTAATCGTCAGTCATTTTGGCTGAAATGCCATCCTGTGATTCTCTCCTACTTGCCTTGGTAGTTACATAATTCACTCTTAAAGGGAGATTCAATTATTTATAGTTTTAAAAATACTGGATGCATAATTTTTCTCCTAGAGAATTGATAAGTCTGTTGCTTTTTTGGCAAAAATTGATTGCCGTATTTTCCCAGGTCGTAAAACGAACTGATAGGTCTTTTGGAGTGATAATTTAAATTTTGTTTAATAAATGTCGAAATCCGTAATTAATTCACCGACTCATGTAAAGATGAACTAATTGCGCTTGGATAAAATGGATGAATTTAAGATGGATGAAAAAATGAAATCAATAATCTCATTGCTAATTAATTTTTTGCATAAATGTCAAATTGTGCTGAATTGTTGTTTCTTTGGTTTGTAGAATTTCGAATAAATGGTTGAAATTAGATTAATTCAGGAGTATTATTATTCATGCGAGATTTAAGAGCAGAATTGATCCAAATTTGCATTTCAATTGGGAATTTTAATTTAATTGCGAATCAGCTTCGAACTTAATTTCATTTTTGAACTGTTCCTTTATTTTATCAGAAACTGAACAGTCACACAGACGATCCATTTATTTTTATCTAGAAAAGAGATTTAAGTAGTCTTATTGTAATCTCAAGTTAACAATCCCGAAATACTCACAAAATAACACCACCTTAATAGTAAGATGCAATAGTGAATTTCGTATTACAAAATTCAATTTCATTATAACCATATTTTGGTCAGTTATTCAAGTACACTAACCTTCTTAAGTGTACAGTTTCTTTTGAATTAAATTTTAAGCAGATTGTAACACTCTATCTCAATATAATGATTTGCAACCTTTCAATAGATCATAAATTGCAATGAAAAAGTAAAAGCAAGATCTGCATATTCTCCCTTGTTAACCTTTTTATCAAGTATACGGAAATGGAGGGAATTCCCACGGAATATAAATATAATTCTCAAAAATATTAAGTAACAATAAACTGCTACATCCCATTGATTAGACCTACAAATTGGAATGATTGTGACTCCGTTCGACTTAGTTAAACGAAGATTAGAAAAATTTAAGAATAGCAAGAATTCGATCTTTTGTTAATGAAACTGAGTGATGTAAATTAATTTGGTAATGCAAATTTGGCGTTTCTGGCTTAAGCATTTAAATTAGAAATCATACAACTTGAATGCAAAACGCTTTACTTGAGACAAAAATAGAAGTATTTATGTGGAAAATGCTTAGAACGCTTAGAATAAAGCTTTAAAGAAAAATCTGTGATAATTACAGATGTTTTACATTTCTTCTATTTCACTGCATCGTGTATTGAAGTAGCTGAGAAAAGACGTCTACCTAGCAGGTTAAAAATGTGCAAAAGAATAAACGTCCACGTGGAATGAGTTTTACTAAGAGAAGCTATTATTAAAAATGGTTGCTACTAAAATTTGCCCTCAAGAAAATGAAGATGAGGTAGAATGATCAGCCACAGGATCAAATTAATCGGTCGACAATCTTCCAATGCCAGGGGTGTGGGATAGACTTACCTCCGTGTGGTGCACCCTGGGCAACGTATACTCATACGGCAAAAAAGTCTATAAATCGGCATTTGACTTCTGAGTTCAAGCTATCATGACCCCACTGTATGTCATATTCGACCACTATCGCAGTACTCACCTCACCTTTCATCTACCTTTGTGTCTGTCTCTTTTACATCTTTAAAACACTTCTGTTCCCCCCTCCCCTCTCGACTTTTTCCGATTTGATGTTCCTCTCCCTCTGTGAAGTCTGAAGTCAACTAAAGGGCTAATGATAACTAGCATATGGCCCGCCATTTGATATAAATAAATAAAATCTTTCAAGACCATGGATATAATAAGC